TTTTCTGATGCACAGCGTAAGCATGCCTGAGTGTTTGCGTACAGATTTTGTTTGGCCTGAGCATGGACCACTGGTCCTCTGAATCCCTGCCTGTGGCAGACAGGCACTCTGCAGTCTTACTGCAGGCTGATTACATCTTTTTTGTTTGCTTGTTTGTTAATAAAAAGCACATCCTTCCAAAATCTAGCTGAAGAGCAAACAGTGCGCAGCTGTACAGCTGCTCTGGGGCTGTTCATAGCTTGATGAAGCCAGAAGAGCATGTCAGCCTGCAGTTGACATAGTCTGAAGCAATCATAGATGCGTACCTCCGCTGGCACTGCTGGTGTCCCTTTGAGCATCCACAAGGCAGGTTGGGCCTTCCCCACTCACCTCAGCTTAGCTTGTAATTGGGAGCCGCTTGTAGACAGGACCTGTGGCTTGGATAACAGTTTGGATAACAAATGATAGCAAGAAGTCTCAGAAGGTCTAGAAGGAAAGCTGAAACTATTTCCATAGGCGGATGTTAGGAATGGCAGTTGTGACTCTACTCACACCAAACCAATTCTTAGATTTCACCTAGAGCAGACCAAGCTCACCCCCAAGGCTTCCTGCCAATGCTCAGCAGGCAGTATGAGTGGCAGCAGTGTGCTCACAGGGAGGTACGCAGTGTCTTCGTTACCAGAGGAACATTCGTGGCCATGGGGACCTGCAGGTGCTTCCTGTGAGTCTGTTCACATGAGTAAGGGTTTCTCTCTCAAGTAGCTGTAAGGGCCCTGCAGCAGTGTTTGGCACCAACCGGTTCAGCAGATGCCACCAGAGCCACCAGTGGTAGTGCTGTGCTCTGAAGGATTCTGAGAAGAGCTGTGTGAACGCACAAGAGTCACAAACACACCCCATGGTGAGAGCCCTGCAGCCCAGCCTGATTCATTCCACGTGCCACGGCCTGAGCACTGTCACCAAGTGCCTACAAGGAGAACAACAGCAGGATAACAGGGAGCCTTTCAAACTGCCAGGTAAATGTGTCATTGGCCAGGTATGCTCATTTAAGCTTAGCATTACCAAAAGCCTGAGGGACTGTGATTCCTAGAAACGTTTGCATCAAGACTGGCTGTTCCTTAAAAGGAAAAGGTAAAGATTGAGGGGCGGTCCTCTGGCACACGTAGTGCAGCGGAACCTGGAGCCCCGTGCCTGCACCAGAGGCGATGGGCATGAATGGAAACACGGGAGGTTCAGTCTGAAATCAGAAAATACTCCAGAATTAGGGTGACTCCACCCTGGCACGGGCTGCCCAGAGGCTGTGGGGTTCCCTCCTTGAAAGCAGTCAGAAGCCACCTGGGTGTGGGCCTGGGCAGCCTGCGCCAGAAAGCTCTGCCCAAACAGGGATTGGGCTTCCAGGGGCCTTTTCTCATCTCTTCCATTCTGGGATATTTCTCTTGGCTTCAGGATCTACTGACACAACTCTGAACAGATATCATTCTCTGCTGAGTTTCCTTAAACTCTTATTTTTGAGAAAGCAGAAGCAGTACTGCTTACCAGCGTGCCAGCTTACCGCTGTGTGGTAACAGCGGGTGAAGCCAGGGCGCTTCCTGATCAAGTTGCTATTCATTAATAGCAATTAACTTACATACCCTGATGTTGAGCTTCAGTAATCAAAACTGTTGGTTTCATTTTTTGTCAATACTCTTTAGGTAGCTACTATAGGACAAAGTTATCCTCTGCCACGGAAACATCATGCGTGAGCTGTACAAGAGAAACAAAAGGAAATTATACCAGGTTGTTGCCTGCCTTCACATCATATATAGAATTTCAAAAATTGATACAAATGTCCGAAAAATAAGCTGTCTACACTGCATGAAGACAGGTTAAAAATTAATTACTTTGAAAGCAACACAATCAAATCTAGTTTCTTTAGCATATATTTACACACAAATAAGAGCTCTTAAGACATTTTATAGATTCCTGTTGTGTTCTTAAGGCTGATCTTGACTACAAGCACTCTCATAGCAAACACTGGTAAAAGTTAAATAGGGCTTGAACCCAGCACAGATTATACATTTGCTGGTATCAGTTCTGATTTGTTTAGTTTCAGAGTTTTTACAGTTTAAGGACTGTGCTCCCAATGCCATTGGGCTTAATGCTGGGGGAGGAAGTGGTCCTGGCTCACTGTGAGCAGGAACAGCCACACTGAGGCAGGAGCTGCCCTTTGTCGGCTGAACAAAATCACGCTTCTGTTTCAGGAAGGCTTTTACTGCATTTGATTTCACTAAGAACTGAAGCTTTCAGCAAGATGAACCATTTTTGTTTAGGGCCCAGAGATTCCCAAACCTTCCTCCTTCTGAGGAGCAGCACGCCTTGCCAGACCACGGCTCCCCACTGAGCCCAGAGCTCACCAGCCGCTGCCATTCGCCCTCTCTGGGAGCCCAGCAGCGCTGAGCTGCAGGCCGCTGAGGCGTTCAGCCTGAAGCCCAGCACGCAGCACAGCAGCGGCTCCTTCCGGAGGATATTATTTTACCGGCTAACC